TGAAGTGCAAAGGGCCATGCAGGCCAGGAGAACGATGCACTGGATGGCAACACTTGTCTTCATCTTAAAGCTTTTTAATTATTGAGTGGAGGATCTACTGAAGGCTCAGTCTTCAACTGATTTGCTCTTCTCAGATATGAAGGATCTCTGCTGATGTGCGTCTCCTTCACTTCTCGAGCTGCCTGAGTGTGCAGGACTGTGAGGTTCATCATCTCTGAACCTCCTTATATACACTCACAGGTACGTGGACCCCGGCCAAGGATGTCTTCCTAAGAAGTGGCTGCAATAAAAAAATGTTTTTTTGATTTGCGTTCTCCCACACTGTAAATCCTGCTGTCGCAATTCTTTGGCATTAAAACTTTCTATGTTCACCTAATTGTAAAGACTTTGTCTGTGACTTCTTTATGTTGAGACATGCCTGCCTTCAGGTGTCGCTTGTATTCGCTGAAACTGACGTCAGACTTCCCTTTTCATGTTTGAACTAACTCCAGTCACTAATGTGTGTGTCTTGAGAATAAATGAACTGCTATGTTGCTGAGCTGCTTCCAGAGAAGTGAAATCTCTTTCAACGATCAGTCTAATATCAACAGTTTGGACAGCAGAAGCACTGATGCCTAATCGTTTACTCTTTCTGTTGCACTCTCCTCAAAGTTTACTTACAGTTCTCCTTACGATAAACAGCATTTGTCTTTTCCTGAGATTTTCAGTAAATAAAAAGAAAGGGAACGTTAGAGCATAACATGTCCTCCTTAGAACTCTACTAAAAATGCATTTTTTCACCCATTCTTTGGAGATGTGCATGTGTATCTTTGCATAAACACAGTAAATTTGCATTGTGTTTCTATCCTTTTGAAATCAGCGTGTTTGTAAGCAGAGTGTGCACTTTCATCATTGTAAGGATGTGATGTACTGAGTTCCCAGAGTAATGTAGCTTATCTAAATATTATTTGTTTCTAAACATATTGACATAACATTTTCTAGGGGGTGAGGGGGCTCCAATCCAATGGTGAGCAATGAATTTTTCCAATGGGCCGCATAAGAAACTGGGCCTTTTGGGAAGTCTGGCATTCTTCCTGGTCAGATTTGGACATCCACAGGTTGTAACA